GCATATCAGTGGTATCGGGGTCACATATCTCATGCTTGAACGGTGCACACTTCAAGACCTTAGGATCGAGATCTTCTCAGATATTCTCACGGATAAAGCAATTTAAACAGCGTATAAAACTCAAAGATTTGAGACAATAAGAGATATATTTCCTTCCTACCTTCAACTTTAAAACTATAGTGGCGAATCTCATCTGAAGAAGCATTTGAAATATATGGTAATAATTAATATTGGTTATAGGAGGTATTTAGGAGCCAGGCGTGTCCATATACGATTCCCATTCGACAAGAATCATTAATATTACCAGATCCTAATATATTATACCTGAAGATGCCAATCCGTCAGTATCAAATATTGCTCTCCTTATCGGCGCTCGCCCGACTGGCCCATCCCTATCAAATCGCCTTCGGTGGATCTGATGAAATTACAGAAATTCTCTGGGAAAATGTTCCAAATGAGGTAGACATGACTAACCCGCCATGTCTGTCTACGGGAGAAGAGGATGTGATGGATATATGGGTTCGTTCTACTACTTCTTCACACGATAGACCTGTTCCTCCATATATCGCAATATACGCCCCGAGTGCGAAACCGTCGGATCAAAAATGCCTAGATAAAAACATAATTCAGGTAATCGCCTACTATGACGAGCCTGGTAAGATGCAAAGCATAATTACTGAACTACCGGACTATGTCGGATACTGGAAAGAGATATACCCTGACTACATGCCGGATGATGGTGCTACCCAGCTCATTGACGGGGGAGGGCTCGAGCCAGGCGAGGTTTTGGACCTAGATTTGGAAACGAAGGTCTATACAAAACGGAACTATAATGTTGCTGTTTATGACTACGATAGTGTTCCAAAGCTGGAGTCTGATGGATATGGGGCATCGGAAAGTTCGGAAGAGGATTATTGGAGTGCTGGAGGTGGCGATTATGGTAACGGCTTCGATCTTTTATCCAGGATGTCCTCGCCCTAAAGGCGTTGAATGCCCCCCAATTCCTATTTGCACCATGGTGGATATCATCGTAGCTATTCCCGAAACTATTGAATATATACCAGAATCTATTAAATAAATCACTTTATTCCGCGGCCGGCATCTAGTTTAGTTTAGCCTGGCTTTTCATTGGTTGCATTTGTGAAGGTGTATATATTAAATACGCAGGAAGCAGTTTCTTCCATTAGTGATATACCGGGCGAATTTGGACTGGCCAACCAATCTATCGAATACCTAGGTAGTTCGTAGTTCCTAATTCGCACCCAGGATTATCAGTCAATTTGCAGCTACACACAGGTCAGGATTCTTATAATGTCTACATGACGCGGGACATATTCACGCTCAAAATTCATACTTAAACTTATATCATGTAAAAAAAAAAAGAAAAGTGAAAAATGAAATGAAATGTTTTGCACGAGGCATTGGTAACTTATAGCGCCATGTGGCCATGCATGCGTAGCCTTATTCTCACTATCGAGCTATTTAGAGTACATTTAATGAGATGTTAGGTGCCTGTCGGGAAGACGTCGCTAGAAACCTCAATAGCTCTGCAGATCTAGAAAAAGTCGACAGTCCCAAGCTAAGAGGCCAACTGGAGTCCGACAAGTATGCGGGGGACTGTATCAACTACCATAGCCTTACTAGCCGCATTTTCTTGCATCCTATCTGCCGCATACGAAATCGCCTTTACCGACGAAGACGTAGAGCACGACGGCTACGAATACAATTTCGCCTTTCTCTCCCGTGCGAGCGGGGAACGTTGCTATGAAATAGATAATATTGACCTCGATTTCGGCCCCCGTGAGGTCCTCGTCCGAGCGAAGGCTGGGTATACCCCGGTCCCAAAATATATCGCCTTCTACAGCAATGCATCTCCACAAATTGGTAAATGTAATGATCATAGTCTGTTGGAGATCATAGCGTTTGATCCTACGATATTCGACAGGCAACAAATGCAGAAAATTTCAGCTCTGAATGTCCGGTATTGGAAGGAAATAAATTACAACATAGGATACCCAATTTCGAACTATGCATCAGCTCTTATTTCAAAGTTTCGTCCAAGAGCAGGGGAGTTCCTGACAAGAAATCCCGCGAATATGGCTTGGGTCTACAGAGAATCGCCTCTGGGGTTATTTGAATGGAACGAAACTCCACCATTTGCGGAGCTACACGAAGCACCCTCCGCGGACTCGAAGTTCTACAAACGCCGTCGACCTATGAGCCCAAAACGGGCCAGAATAAGCCCGGCGAGACAGGCGGCGTGGACCAAAAGCGCGAAAATCGATTTGGAGGATTCCTCAATAGGTCCAAAACACAACGACCTGATGTCTATTCTGACGGAATCTGATGGTCGGTTGCTCCCTGACTCTCTACTAGACCAATATGAAGGATATGGACAGAGGTTCCTCCTCAGGCTACCCGATACTCCGCTCGGGATGGGCCACGGGCTCGAGATATCAGATTTGGCTTCAATCTCTCCTCCTTTAGGCCGGGTTGAAAGCATACCAGAGGATCTATCGGAAATTTCAGTTCCCCAGTTTAGAGACCCGTTTGAGGAGTTTGTTGATAGTTTGGGCAGCCTCCCCGAGACACTGGATATAAATACGGCACCTCAAATACGCAACGAACCGGTTGACGCCCATCGGTACATGAATGAAGATGACGGCTTCGCGCGCAACAGCCAAGGCTTGGGAAACTATGCGCCACCCCAGCCTAATGCAATGGACGGCGGGAATCCTATCTCCTCAAGTGTCGCCTACCTTCTGCCTTCTTCAGGAGGCCCAGTGATTTCGGACTCGCCGGATATTTTATTCTATCATCCCAGTGACCTATTCGACGATATCCGAGGCTTTGATGCTTTAGACTTAAATTTTGATGCCCCATCAGAGAACTCCCAGTCCCATAGAAACTAGTATCTGCATATGCTATCTGTATTTATAGGCCCACAAATGAGTTTTAAAATTTTGTCTAGGAAAATGGAGGCGAGGCCGGAGGGAATGCACTCTCCACTAACCGTTTTCCGGAGCATGCACAGTGGATTAGCTTGTAATTACGAACCAGGAGTGGTTTAATAGATATGTATGAGTACAGCGAGGTGGAAATTCTAAGCCAACTTGCGTCTGGTCCATGACACAAGCTTTCGATATATACACCAATATTTAGGACTACGATGCTACTATGGTACCATGATACGGCTCGATAGGGCGTATCGTGGGATACAGAGTATGTTAATTGCGAGTAACTTAAATCTATAGCACCAGTAAAACCTTTATAGGTCGAGAGAGAATTTTAGAGCTAATTAGTCGCAATTGCATGCATGTGCATGCCCGAGTAGCAGTGCAGAGTACTGCGGCTTAGTACTACAAGCTAGAGGATATCACCAAACGGAGGGGACATCCGCAGAGATAATATATCCTACTTAGCCACAAAGCTAGAGTCAATCGCCACTGCCTACTTTATAATGGTATATCATAAAGTATTACTCACCTCTTATTTTGTGCTTCCCAAAATTTCCGCTGCATTTGATATCGCCTTTACCGCAAAACTGGACAACGGAGTCCACTACCAGACTGATGTTGTATACAGATCCGCACTCGATTCCGATCCTTTAAATTTGGGATGCAACGAAATCCCATTTTCAACTGCAAACCCTCGCCTAGAACTGGTCTCAATTCGGACCGCAGGAACAGATTATGATAATATTGATCAGGATATTATCCCACAGACCCCTGCGGTTCCGTACGCTATAGCGCTATATATAGATTCCATTGAACCTAGTTGCTCTCCCGGCAGCCTTGCAATGATAATATGCTATGACGAGGCGCAAGCGGGCAAGCAACAGGTAGTCATATCAGAACGAGAGGATTTGCGTTTCTGGAGGGCTATCGCCAAGGACGAGGGTGACCTGATCAACCAGTATATAAACCAGCTACAAATGCTTCCCAGAAGCGTCGGATACCGAGCGGGGCCGGAAGATTGGGATATTGTTGACGAAGGGGTCATAGTTACCGACTTCGGTGCCAATATATATCAAGAAGCGCAGGATGCAAATGCCATGGATATCATATCTCCTCCAAGCGTTACGGAAGAGGAGGTCACAAACGACTGGCAAAATGTGATGAATGGAATGGATAGAGTTTATAGTGAGGAAAGCTGGAGAGCTTACGGGTTTGATCCTGACGATTTGGAGATTCATCCATGGCCGCTACGATATGGAAATGACCCTATGGCTATAGATGAAGAAATTGTTGAAGCAAACGAAGTTGATTCCCAAGCTGGACAAACGGAGACGGTCGGCGGATCTCAGTACTCGGCAACTGAGTCCCAAGCTGCGAGTGACTATGGCTTACCGTTGTTGACGGATATCTTGAGTCGGCAAGGCTCTCGCTTTTCTCAGATTTAAGTGTAATACACATAGATTCGCCCTGACTTACAGTTGGGCATAGCTGTATCACCCAAAGCAAGGCAAATGCTTTAGATGCAGTCGTCTACTATTACCACGAAACGCGCATACCTCCATGTAGGCTAGTAGTTTGAGTATTGCAAGAAAATATGTAAATACATTAATATGCGTGACATCGATACTTCTGTTCTCATTTAAGGCACTGAACGGAAAATATATCTTTTATTGTACAGGTCGCTTCAAGAATCTCACCGAGGGTTTATCTGGAATTAAATACTAATTGTCTCAGTAGTACGGGCCGGGATCATATTTCCAATTCATTTCAAAGATAGGTCAAGTTATATGCCCGGTGGCCCCAACGTCGACGACCCTCTAATGCTTGCAAGAACGACTGTGCATGTGGACCACAATTACAGCTGTCCCCACAACACAACCAAAGCTGTGCTACCTTGCGTTATTCCCTTCTCACCCTCGCAATCTGCTCTTGGCCTTGCCATGGTCCAAACTGCGGCCAAGCCATCGGTAACGTATTTTTCCAACCGAGCCGACACGTAATTAGGCTCATGAACTTCAACGAAACCCTCCAGGATATCCAATAGCCCTCCTAGCTCAATCGGAAGAGCGTGGGACTTTTATGAGCGTTCAAAGCTTGATAAGAACATCCCAAGGTCGTGAGTTCGAGCCTCACGGAGGGCGATAGGATTTCTTTTTTGCATTTCTGGCCTTTGGAACGATGTTTTTGGGGCTAGATTTGACAAAGTTGTAACTTTTTTTGGGTAGTCGGTTATCTGGTGGTTCAGCGACAAATTTGGTGATTTAGTAGTGTCAAACAGGTTTGAGACCCGTGCTATTGGCATAAGCCACATGATGGCCCTCTTCTTGTTTGTAACATCAGTTGGCTGAACTTTGGTCGACCGGCCCATACATGGTCTCGAACCTACAGTTTGTGGATTTCTGATGTATGGACACTACGAAGAGGAGCGCTGGCTACTATCGATTGGAAATGTAGCTACCTACCTATAGGTAAGTACTAAGCGGTATGCAGCTGTATATGCAGCTGCCGGGATCACGAAATCAGGTCCATCAATAATTTCTTCCACTTAGATAGCATTTCGCGATGGCGTGATCAAGGTGATCATCAAATCACCTAAATACTAGATAATCTAGATACCTACCGTAGGGGGTTGGGCAGTTTTTTGAGGCGTCCCAGTGGCAGTCTTACATCTCTCTTAAAGCACCCGAAAATGCCAACGTCTTAAAATCAATTACTGTTTTAAGTTCATTTAAAGGGAAAGCCAGTCTGAGGATCTACGACGTCTTAAAAGAAAAGTGTAGCCCGTAGATCCACGATGACCTCGAAATTAAAAGCGTCTTAAACCCCGAACTGTTTTTGTTATCATTGTGGTTTCAAATCCGAGGCGTCTTAATTTTCAGGCGTCTTAATATTCTATTATACTTTTTGATTCAAGGCGACCAGAATTCGAGTTGGCTTATAAACAGAGGCGACTCTACGATAAGTCGGCTTGGCCGAAAGGCGATTCTGATATGTTTTAAGCCTCTTCTTAAAGTGTCTTAAGCCGGGACAGCGCTTTACGGTAAAGACGGGTTCAATTAAAAATGTTTTCATTTTTATATTACATTCTGCTCTCCCACCCCCCACTCAGCCCTGTACTAGGTAGGTACCTATGCTTTCTCCTTCTTTTCTTTTTCATCCTTCCCTAAGCTTCTCCCCTTCCCTTCCCTTCCCTTCCTTTCCCTTCCATTTCTCCTTCTTCGTGACACCACTCCTTTCTTGGGCCGCCGTCTTACCTCCTACACCTTTGAGTATAAACATACTACGCACGAGATCAAATACAAACACTACTACTTCCTACGTTTAAATTAATATATATACGACAGAATCTTTATAAACTGCTAATAGAGTATACGAGGCTCATACCAAAGTGATACAAAAGAAGGCGCCAGTGTTTTATCCATGTCCACAGTTTAGCCATCTATATTACTCGTGGATACCTTCTATCGTTCTATCCCACGAAAACCTGAGCACTATACGGAATCTACGGGTAAATATATACTAGAATCGGCGGGGATAGAGCTTCAACACATCGTGCAGCTTCCGGAAAAAGCGGATGCGACGGTGAGCATTCGTTACTTTAGCTTTAGTGGAGCAATTGTGAATCGATTAATTGCAGCAGCCTGATATTTAAATTTAATATAGAAGCTCATCTAACAAGACAAGGACGAAAATCACCAGTAAAATACCTCGATCTCCCGATACTGGTGATAAAGCAAGCCAAATCCTGGTCAGACTAAACGAAGGTCATGGCAGAATGGCACCCCAAACTACGAAAATGATTTCAAGGCGGGGGTGACTGCAGCAAATGACGTCGATTAGACTGTCATATTCCTGACAGTCCCGTACAGTCAATTGTACGGCTTCTATCGCCCAGAAAACTCAGGTGTATTCCAAGTTGAACCATAACACCCAACTACTGTCTGGCCTAGTGCGTAGAATACCTGGTAGACGTTTATATTTGGTCTGGCGGAGTGGCTATACAAGATGTGAGCGCTGGTGCAGAGAAACGGGGCGCTAGCCATCAACCAGAAGGCCAGCCCCCGAGAACCCGACGTCGGGAAGGAAGCCCACCGCCCAAAACCCAAAACCCGGCACCGCGCCGAAAGAAAGGTTGTCCTAGATCCAATATCAGATGGAAAGATCATCTAAATGCTATAGAGTTAAATAACATAACACAATGTGTCATAGTTTGTGATTCTATAATGAGTTACCCCGCTATCGAAGTGTCGTCTGCTATGAAAATATAGTACAAATTTAAGCTATATATACCTACTAAAAATGTTTCCTCGCCAGATTCTAGCTAGACTACCTAGGTAGTAATATGGAACTTTAAATGAATGGATATTACCGTGGGTGGTTATCCTCACGTGAGAATGGGGAATGTGGGTGGTAGCTATAGATGTCATATGGGGGCGAACCTAGGTGGGTACTTAGGGATTTGTGCACATGTGAGTGTAAAAGAGCCTATAAATATTGAGTGGTTATTCCATGATATTGCGCAATATTGCACGATGATGCTATGGTGTCGGCCGTCGGGGCGAACCTCGGGGTTAATTACGTTGGTTTTGTGTTGCAGGTGTTGGAGGTCTAGCGGTAGCTTAGTCATGATCATCAGGATCGTCGGTGCAGTTGCTGCGTAATTTGAATGCCGGATTGTCGATACCAGGCGCCAGGACAGGCTGTGTGTCAGGGGCAATGCAATGCCGTTCTACGGGTAACCCGGTAAGAAGGAGAGGGATTACCGGATACCAAAAGTCCGTGGCACGGGCTGGTATGATGCACGCAAGTGGGTAGTATGTCTAGATGTAGGTATTATTGTGTCTCTCTTCCTCTGTACCCTGGCCTGGCGCTATCGATATATCTTTACGTTTCCGGCCGGCGACAATGGAATCGAATGCATTATCTCAGTCGCAAGGGGGATATGCCGAAGAAAAACATTAATTTTAATATTAATAGTAGTGTCTTTCGAAATTTTTCTCATTATCGGAACATTTTTCTAACCGCAAAATGTTGGACTCTCCAACAGATAGATTGATTTACAATTTTTTCGTGTCGCGTCAGGTAGAGTGACTATACCGACACATAAACTGTGGCAAGGAAATTTGCCGGGGTTAGACAGTGAGGTGCAATCTATGTAAGTACAATGCAGTACGTACTGCAGCAAGTATACTGCGGAGTCTGCAAGATCAAATTGATTGTCAGGAGTATAAACGTGCATATGGCATAGACGTTTTTTTTATTCCCAATGCAATCTTGGGCACAGTTGGGGCTGGTTTGTACTTTTTTGGGGGGCGTTCCTTCATCTGCAACTACGACTGTTCGCTAGTGTTTCAGACACGGGCGTCTCAGTCTGAGGGTTTAAATCTGAAGCACCCTCAGGAATTCTCCAGATTGCCCTGGGGAGATTGCATTCTTTTCGTCTGGATCGAACGAGCGAGTAAGGCAAACAACATGACATACGTGCACGTACTTACAGACATACAGTAAGTACACGGTAGCCTCGATTCCACAGCTCAAATTCTCAGACGTACGTCAGGACCGTGATAGGAAGATAGGATACTTCAACTTATCGTATCGGATAACAATTGGCAATTGACAACAGGCATCGACGATGGAACGGACATACCTTTGTGAGAAGGTAGGTAGGTACGACCCGCCAACGGGCTGAATATAGAAGTTAGGACGGATAACTGATACGGGCTGCATGGGCACATGTAAGCAAGCGCAGGCCGTTCCCCGCTACAGCCCCTCAGAATCTGCGTGGGTGCCTTTGCCGGCTTTGTGGTGACAAAATTAGAAGCAGAGCGGTGCAGCCCTCTGTATCTTTGTAGTCTTGGCTCACCAGGGCAAAGCCAAAAAGGCTACCGTGAAACGAAACGTATTCGCGCATGTGAGTTTGTGTGTGTGTGGATATGGTATGGTATGATATGGTATGGATGTAAGTAATGTATCTGTACTTTGTACTCCGTAGATAGTTAGTATGGCCAATGTATGTAAATGTCGACGTTAGACAATCGGCACTGCACATATCCTTCCCACTGCCATCCCCCTATGCATGTTGTACCAACCGGCCACGACTCAATCCGACGGATTTGCAATTGTGCATGCAACTGCAGCCGCAATTTTTGTGGTTGAATATTTCAACTCGTTCGCGCATTCTTCAAGGCCGGTATTGGAAGAGAGGAGTTTCAACCAAGCGGCGCCTACCCGTCAAAAGGTCTCATTAAAGCAGGCAGGTAAGCCGGGTTCGGTTTGTGCGGAGGGGCTAACGAAGCAAAGACCCTGTTTTGGCATCAAAAAGCCTGTTCTCCTTCTTCCTTCACAAACAAAATCGTCATAAGACACAATAAAGAGAGGAAGAAAGAAAAAATAACCCGCCGTGCATCTTCGACGCTTTTTTTTTTTTTTTTTTTTTTTTTTTCCTTTCTGACAGAAACATTACAGACCCGACTCCTTGACTGGATATAGTGGGTACTTCAGTTAGTTGGGTGCTATTTGGATTTTTCGACGCCTCCGCCACCCTGTTAGCAAATACCAGACCCTAATCAATCAGAATTCAAGCACGGAACAAGGGACAAGAGTAAGAATAAGGATAAGAATAAGACGAAGGGATAAGAACAGATCTAAGGACAGCTGAGATATATTCTTCCTATTGTTATTTCTGTTCCTGTCGCCTGGTGTACCTCAACATCGGAAACGTCTACCAGTTTTAGTTCAGCAGAGGTTGTTTATCCGAGTTCCCCGACCTGGTCTTTTCTGTCCTGTCCTGTCCTGTCCTGCTGCTCGTTCGTCGCTTGCCAACACACACCTGATCCATCTCCAAATTTCTCCCGCCTTCGTTTGCCCCCGTCCTTGTCTCTCCCTCATCGTCCGTCCATCGTCCTTTTTTTTTTTTTTAACTCCAGTTCAACCGTATCGCTCTCCGTCGCCCGCCTTCATCTCTGCCGTCGTTACCCTTACCGCCCAATACCACTTATCTTCTGGTGCCCGTATTGTAATATTCACACTTTCTGCCCCCCCTTTTGTGACATCCTGAGTGCATGGTAGAGGACACCGACCGAACTCGCGTCCCCGCATCGCTTGCCGACCAACAATCTCTGGGACAGCAGCCTCCGACACT